GTTTAGATGAGATAGACACACAGGTGAAGATTTAGTGAATCATTACATAATAAAAGTATTGGTAGAATATATAGGGTTTAGAGAAATGATATGTGGTAGAGTTGTTAATTAGGAAGAAGACAAAATATTTTTTATAAGCTTCTAACTATAGTTGTGTCACTTTCAATTATATGAGATATGATTTATTGTTGAGACTCTTTAATGTAAACTGTGAAATTGATACTTTAGTGATCACTATCTACATATTCAATCAAACATTTTATTTATCTACGGATTAAATTGCTTGAATGTATAAGGAAAAAAATATAGGAACTCATTTTTATATCCATCATATTTCAGATCAAATACTAATAAGTCGAACGCGGATAATTTTAATGACTTGTATGAATACCGTCTTCAGCAAATTCACCTCACGATATTAAAAATGAGCCGAAATACATTAAATTATTGAAAAAATATTCAATAACAAACTTTGATAACTACTTTACATAGAACACACATTATCAAAGTTATAGCCACCAAATGTCAGAAGCTTTTCAAGATTTCAAAAGCAGTGTCATTTCAAAATATAGTCGGATATAAATACTTATGGGCATTGAAAATGAATAGCACTTATTCTTTTTATTATATGATGATTTTACATTTTAGTTTTCAGGTTAAATGCTGAAAATGTATTATATAAAGAATATCCAAATGCGATGTGTAACTCAGAAGTTTGTCAGGTTTCAATATATGCTCCAATGACACAAACTAATTGTAATACCATCTTAAGATCAGCGTATACGTAGTGTGATTGTGTTTAAAACACAACTCTGATGAAAGTACTTTGAGAAAAATAACAAGGTACAAAACATAATACAGCCAGGGAAGGTATACGGCATCGGGTCTCAGCAGTCCACAGTTTTTACACTGGATCAGCACTCACCCATCTGACAGCCAGTGCCAAGCAGACAGTCCCGGAGCAGCTAGTCAGGTCGCTCGACTGTGACAGAGAATGTAGATGGGGCTCAGCTATAGATGATCAGAGCAGCTATGTGTATATGAATTGCGAGAGCTTAAGTCAAGAGCCATAGCATGATGCGGCTAGTCGGTATGAAGCACACAGTGTATAGGTTTATCTCCATCGTGAATCCTCCACACCTGGCTCACATATGATCGACGCGACATGTCCTTCGCATCTCTCAGACAGAACAAGACCACTATCGGTCTCTGATCCCGATTACTTTTAGCAGGATTGAGATACCTTGGTCAGCCCTCCTGGCGCTACACTCACATGCCAGCAGTATCCTTCCCGCGATCCGACAGTTGGGAAGATCCGCCATCGGATCCTGGCAATGGACCAGCAGCATTATATAAGATTTAGATTTTGATATTTTTTATTTTTTTCATCTGTATTTTCATATTTTAATTTGTGTCAAGAACAATAAAATCATTACACTTTTATATTTCTTGTTATTGGCGATTGGTTGTGCTGATATATAATTGCCCATTTATTGGGTCAACTTCACAGGTGACGGGAAAATTTTGGCGCTTATCAAAATATATATCTTGAATTTTTTTTATTTTTTTTCCATTTTTGCGACCGATTGCTGACGATTGATACCAAAGTGAAAATTATGATTGTATCTGTGCGTGCACCGACTTTGCCGACCAGATTTTCAAAACTTGCGCACCGGATCCACTGCGACCAAAAGTCTGCGACTTTGAATATTTCCAATTAACAACAGCAAAATTGCGAATCCAGGGATATTTACAATTATTGCGACCGGTGGATTTTTTATGGTATCTATTAATTTGCGACCGATTCTCCTCAGTCGGGTACGCCAAATAAGTTTGCGACCAGTATTCATTTGTCGACCGAGCACCGATGATTTTGGTCGTCCCAAAATCGGTCGCCTAAACCGCGGCAAATTAAGCGACCGATTTTTTCGCCAATTTGTGGGTCCCAAATCGGTCGCTAAAGCAAATTAGCGACCGATTTTTGCCATTTTGCGACCGATTGGTCGGTCGCAAAATGACGTTTTTTTTGTAGTGATTTAAATCTCGAGAAATTTTTAGGCAGACTCTGGCTATCGCGTCGGCTATAAATCCATCCAATAAAATAAAGTCACATTAATAATTTGTTTTTTTTCTAACTTATTGACATGGTAAATTGAGTCTACCTAAGAATTTCTTCAGAATCTCAGTAATATACATAAAAATTCTCCTCTCCAATGCTAGAAAAATACATGAATAATAAAACTTGATTAGTTTAAGATGTGTGTATGAGAGAGAGGGAGAGAACAATTGATGAATAATAGTAACAAGTAAATTAAGGAATTGAAAGTTAGGTTTCATAAAGTAATTATGAATGTGATCACATGCTTGATAGCATGCTTTGATTCCTTTAACAAAAGCAAAAAAACACAAAACCAAAATAGAAGAGAAGAGAGGAGATCTCTCTCTCTCTCTCTCCCTACCCACATGCTTCATGGGGACACTCAATCCTCCTTAATTAGAGAGCTACCCTAAAGAGCATGAGAAGATCCCAAAAAGCAATACAAAAAGAAAGGTTGCTGCTCTCAAATCTTACTTCTCACTAACATACAACTCAATACTCACACCCCCATAAAGGAGAATATGTTTATATTTTTTAAATATATTTTTTTAAATATTATATATTATATTATATATATACTATACAAATATATATATATATATATATATATATACAAATAGTTTATTTGCATGCTGGATTACATTCACCTTTTGCTTTAAAACAACATTTCATGCCTTGGACCCTGCAAGTGTCCTTTGCTTGCTTTTATTTTTGTAGTAACACTAAGTTCACTCTTTTTCATTCTATTCTATTATATTATATCCTTAATTAATCTTCCCATCCTCTTGTAATAAAAGGAAGGAAGAAAAAGGAAACTTCCCTCTCCTTCTCTCTCTAATATAGGAAAACTCCATAAATAATTAAAACTTTTTTTATAGAAAATCAAAAATAAAAAAAAAATAATTTAGTGATCGAATATCTATTTCGTTACGTAAGATAATTATAATTCTATCTTAATAGATATCCCTTTAAAAATTTTTAATTATGATTAAATGTACATATATATTGGGGCCGATCTGTCGATTACGGAACTATGGTTTTGAGAGTAATTGAAATCTGATGGCTAATTAAGAGAGAAAGCCAAGCTGTGTCCATGAATATGAAGCGCAGTTCAATGCCCTAAAAAATATTAAACTTGAACATGGAGAAGCTTCAAAACCTATTAAAATCTGGTTTAGGGTTTCGCAATCTTAACTGGTACCCATTATCTAATTGTTTATCCTATATATATATATTGCATTGGTATCTGATGATAGTATTCAATACATATCAAATATGATTTTGTCTATGCTTCTATTTATTATTTAGTTTACTTTATTAAATGAGCTACAAAATAAAAATGCGTACAGCAGAGTTTGAATTTTTATTTTTTTAAGAAAAAAAAAAATTAAATTTCCATTGTTGGAATGTCCTTTTTTAAGGATATTGTTTTTATTAAGTGATTTAGGTAAGGCACCCCTTCCTATGCAAAAGGCAATTAAATTGTAGATAGTATATCATTTTGAGTCTCTATAAAATTTCAAAATTTTCAATGCCTTTCCTTCTCAATTGTTACTGTTGGTGTCCAGAAAATTGCAATTGCTACAAAATATATTCTTCATTTGTTGGTCCACAAGAGAATGCTTCATTGATTGAAATTTGAAAATTTTCATTTGACAATTTCTACGAGCATTTATGAAATGTGAGGTTACCAAATCAAAGAAAGCTACTTACGTTGCATACTCATCTTTTTACTCTTTTCTTCTTCTTCTTTTTTTTTTTTTTTTTTTTTTTTTCTCTTCTGCTTTTTTTTTTTTTTTTTTTTTGTTTAAATTAAGAAAAATTTTTTTTTTTTTTTTTTTTTTAAATTTAGAAAAAGGGAGAAATCCAATTAATCTGAAAAGCGGAGATCAAATAATCCAATATATGCAATACTATGAAACTGAAATAATATATGCATCATATAGTATGAATATAGTTCTCCCATTTATTAATTTTTCACTTGAAATTATAGATGAAAAAATTCGAACATAAAATCTTTCACTCTTCACCATACTTTTAAAAAATTAAGAAAATAAATTAGACCACACATATAATTTTATGATGCGTTCCAATTTATTTATTTTTATAATCTATAAGTATTTATGATATGCACTCACATGAGCTCAACAATGCAATCCAAATCAAAGTAATATTCATGAAATTGGATGTATTAGGCCATGAATTTACACACAACTTAAGAGATTTGAGAGAGAGGCTTGTCTAACAGTAACAAATAGACAACAAAATAAGATTCATAGAAGCATAATAATATTATAAATAAAAATAGTACAAAACTGTATACAGAATTTCTTCCAAATATACATTACATACAAGAGACAGCTACCTAAAAATTGTTAGCAAATTTACCAAAGTCCTAGCCTAAATAAAACTCATCAAATCTGCCAAGGCAAACACTATTTAGTGAAAGCCATGGATTACAATTACATGCCAAGGTAAATTAAAAAAAATTTAAAAAAAAAATGAAAAAACCATGGGCATGGAAGGGTTAGTATATAGCAAAGAAAGTAGGTGAAGAGAATATATGATATGATGGATCATGGGTAGATATTCAACTTAAAAAAAAAAAAAAAAAAAAAAAAAAAAAAAAACAAGAAAAAGAAAGAAGAAGAGAAGAAGGTCCTATAAAATTTTTAAACCAAACAATGGGTAATTTTTAGTAGAATAAGTAGCACTACTCACACACCAAAAGCATATTATATATTAAAGGAAAAAAAAAAAAAAAAAAAAAAAAAAGAAGAAGAAGAAAAGGTCCTATAAAATTTTTAAACCAAACAATGGTAATTTTTAGTAGAATAAGTGCACTCTCACACACAAAAGCATATATATATATAAAGGGTTGGTATATATAGAGATTTTGGTATTTGGGTTTTTTTTTTTTTTTTTTAATTTGATGGATCATTGGGATTTTGATTGGCTAGGCTTTTAAAAATAATGGGTGCACCATATTGTGGGTAGAGCAGCATAAGGACTGTGGGTGCATGTTGGTAGCTAGGGGCTAATGTAAAAGAGAAGCGTTGCAATATAATGGCTAAGGTCAATTTTGCTTGCAAAATGGCCAAGTTTTGGCCAATGCAGGTTCGGACACCAAGCCCAAATGGTATAAAAGCTATAGAATGCTTTGCTGCCTTTGCAACACCATCACAGAAACGCCCTGGATTGAACTCATTTGCATCATTCCCCCATATTGACTGATCATGATGAACGGCCAGGATTGGTATTAGAAGCTCGGTCCCACGCGGAATCTTGTAGCCCCCGAGCTCTACATCCGTTTTTGACCGTCTGATCGTGGCGATTGTGGGTGGATACAACCGAAGAGATTCATTTAGTATCATACCGAGCTGCATACCATAGTATAGCCTAATCAATAATAAGTTAGAAAGATTGGAAAATGTTTTTATTTATTAATTTAATGAAAATGACAAAACTGCCATTAGATTGTGCTATCAAAAAGCAAGACTTGAAAGAGCATAGAAATATTATAATAAAGCAAAAGGTAAAGGTGGCAGTTTTGTTGATTTTGTTTTCATTATTTTGTTAAGAAGGGAAGCAAAAGGCTAAGAGACAAAACAAGATTTTTGTCATAATCTGAAGAGAGTTGCTGAATTTCTTTACCGTCTTAAGCTTTACAACATCATCTTTAGTGGGTATGTCACGTGATCCACACACCCTTAGTACCTCCTCACGTGCTTGCACCTGCCACTGTGGGTGCATTGCTAATAAGACAGTTGTCCACGTCAGCAAATTGGATGTGGTCTGTTTGCCCGCAAAGAAAAAGCTCTTACACTCTTCAACTATGTCATTGACAGTCACATTTGGGCATGACTTTGAGGCTTGGATCATTAATCCTAGTAAATCTTTCGGGTTCTTCACATCCTGCATTGCATTACTCGTATTTTCTCTCCGTCGATCGATCAATTTCATTAGCGATTTCTTCGTTTCCTTGTCTAATTTCCACGAATTCATATTTCTTCTAGTCGGAAAAAATCTGTCACGGGAAATAAAATTTTCGCCGTTAAGTACTAAAACAGGTGACTGCCTGTGAAATCTCCACTACTAAAATTAATTAATTAACGAATTAATTACCTATAACCTGGGATAGAAACCTTTTGGAAGGCCTCAGCAGCTAGAACCATTTGCTGTGCTTGTAATCGAAAAATAGCTTTACCATCTTCATAGCTACTACCAAATGCAGTTCTTGTAATAACATCTTCTGTTAGGGTTTGGAACCATTCAGAGACTTCAATCTCTACTTCATTTGATTTCGACATTTTCGACCATTGCTCCAACATCTCGATCACACTGTTTGCCACCACAGGAACCAGCAACTACATAACCAGAAAGGAAAAAGAACAAGGATTAAGCTACTTTGTTTTAATCTCTGAGACACATATCGATATATAGATATGTAACATTAGAACTCACTTTGAGATTTTCCATGTGGAATGTAGGAATTATGATTTTTCTATGATGAGACCATTTTTCACCTTTTAGACTAAGGAGTCCATCACCTTCAAGCTGTTTAACAAGAGGGTGAGCTTCAATCTTCTCATAGAATTCAGCCTTTGTAGTGAAAATTTCGCGGATAAGTTCTGGATCAGAGACAGTGAGTCTACCAGTTGGTCCGAACCATACTAGAAAGGTTGCACCTGAAAAAATGTAATCTTGATTCTGTTAATAATATTGCAGGGAAAGGAAAAATAAATAAAAGTCGAAAGAAAAGAAAGAGATGGTAAAAATATATATAGTGCATTAAATATACAAGAGCTAAAGAAAAAAAAGCACAAGGAAACAAAGAGGTAAGTGATTTGCACCAAAGAGGAAGTATCGCACATCCTCAAGTAGTAAGTATCGAGTTAGCAAAAAGAGGAATGAGCAGGAAACATGGCAACCATTAATTCAGAGAGCATGGATATAGTGTAGACCCTACAAAGAAGAGAGAGAGAGAGAGAGAGAAGGAGGGAGGGAAGGAGGGAGCAAAAACAAAAAAGAAATAATAATAATAATAATAATAATAATAATAATAATAATAGAGTATAGAAAGAAGACAACTGGAACTATGCAGCTAACAAACATATACTATTTTCATTATCAGAATACCAACTGAACCCATAAAACAAAAGCAAGTGGACATGGAAAACAGAAAGGAAATGATAGCTGCAGAACAAAACAAGTGCAAAAACACCACTTTCTTTTCTTTTTAATTAGTAATTTTATTATGGGGAAGTAAAGTTTGAAGTAAAATAAAACTAAGAAAATTTTGAAATTTAAAGAAAATGATAGTAATGTTAGAAGGATGAGGTTATTGTAAGAGGGGGGAAAAGAAAGAAAGAAAGAAAGAAATAGAGAAGAAAACAAGAAGTGGAACAGTCCAAACTCAGAAGTTCAACATCAAGCATCCAAGAACAGAAAAAAGGCTGAAAAGTTTTAAAAAGATGTACCTGAACTCAGAAAACAAGCCTTTTAAAAGTCACAATTTTTGGAGGATGGATCACAAAGGAAACACATCATAACAGAACCACAATCCTCACAGCTTTAATAATTATCAACACTATTTTTAATTTATCTTTATAACCAAAAAAAAGGAAGGAAGAAAAAAAGAAAAAACAAAGACAACACTCAAAACTCAAACTAACATCAATGCCACCACCCAGAACACAAAAATTTTAATCAAAACTCGTAATCTTACAGTTTTGGAAACGACTGCAGAACCAAAACTCATTGGTTTAAACTTTTCTTTTCAAAGAAAAAGGGAAAATGAAATAAAGAAAGAAAAGAAAAAAGTACCATAAATTTTCTTCCAGTGATGATAAAAGGAAAGAACTCTGGGAAGAATGTTGTGAGAGAAAGGCATGGGTTGAGAAGAAGCCTTCAACATCATCTCTACGAGCTCTTTCACATTGCCTATAAAGAAACGATAAGGAGGCCCTCTAATTCCTTGCTTTGAGAAATGTTCTTCAATTCTTCTTGGTCTCCACCAAAGCAACACTACAATCTTTAAAACAATAACTAATATAAAGAAACATATGCCAACCAGCTTAAGCCAGTACAAGAAAAGCTCCACCTCCATCTTAAAAAAAACCAAGAAACCAAGAAACAAAGAGAGAGATGTTTTTTTTAGGCTAACACAGTGTGTTCTCTTCTCCTTCTCCTTAAGATCAGTACTGGAGCAGCCTTTTTCTGTTTTTGCTTCTTATCTTCTCTTCTCTTTCCCACTTTTTTTTCTCCTTTTCTTTTTCTTTTTTTTTTTTTTTTCCTCTCTTGTTTTTTGGCTTGTGTTGGTTTACTTGTTAGATAGAGTGTGTTGGCTTTTTAATACTACTTGAAACAAAGGAAGAAAGAGAGAGAAAGGGCAAGCAATGCCAACGGCGTAGGGGCCGCCATTGGAATTCTAAGGGTCAACGTGTGAGGTTTTTTATTTATTTATTTTATATTAATAATTTATAATAACATGAAGACAATGTTGCCCTTGTCTTTTTGTAATAGTATTAATGTATCCCTTATTAGAATTATTTATTTTTTTGCCTTTTTTCAGGGGTTCTGTTTCTCTTGGACAAAATGAAATTCTCGTTTTTCTTAAAAAGATAATTTAAATTAACAAAAACTAAGTAAATAATTAGAGCATAGATTAGAAAAAATAACCTATAGAATTTAAGATGAGACATTCTAATTTATTGGGATGTGCTCATTTTGTTTAATTTAATTTGTTTTATTTAGACATTCTAGTTTAAGAAGGATGGCATTATTGCCATAACTGAAAGATGTTATTTTTATTTCCTTTCATTTGAATTAAATGAGTTTTTTATTTTATTCTAATAATATTAAATTTCCTTTTTAATATCGGAGCAAAAAAATTTTTTTTGTTAATATTAAAATCGATAAAATTGTCCTTTTAAATTAAATAATTAATTTAATTCCTGTATTTCTTTTTTTTTTATTAATACTTATCTCATTCATTTTCTAAAAATAAAAAACTTCATTAAGCTAATATTCTAATGATATCATGGTTTTTTGAAATCAATATATCGAGCTTCTAAATATTAAAGTAAAAATGAGGATATAGTATTTTTAAAAAAAAAACTTAAAAATTAAAAAATATATATATTTTTTATTTTTTTTTACAATAAATAGATAATTAAAAAGTCATGAGTACTTTATTTATTACTTCTAACTTATTCTAAATAAATTTTTTACATATAAGTCAAATTAAACAATTTTTTACTTGTTATTTTTCACTTCAAAGTAGATTTTTTACTAACTTAAAAAAAAAAAGTAAATCGAACACTCTTTATGAAGAGTTTGAAGAAAATATAAAAAGAAAACCAATCTCTATGAAAAATTAGAAAAAAAAATTATAAATTTTTTTTTTTTGCTAAATTGGTTAAATTGCTAAAATGGTAGTTTAATTTTTTTTTTTTTCCTTTTTAAGAATGAAGTAGATAAGTATGTATTTAAATAAAGAAATAATAGTATTAGTGGGAAGTGAATAAAAGAGAAAAAGGAAATTAAATTACTATTTAATTTTAAAATGTAATGTTATAAATTTAATATCAGCAAAATATTTTAGAAGGAAGGATTTGAAATAAAATGTAAGAAAATCAGTAGACAATGACTTTCTACTTAAAAATAGATTTTAAGTAATTTAAAAGCCAAACTAAATATTATTTAATAGGTGTTAGAGAAAACTATTGCAACCTACATAATATGGGGTAGCCCTCCATTGAAGGCACCAAATTGGTGAAAATTTATGGTCGAGAGACTTGAATTCGAAATTTTTCACCTCTCACATAAATGAAAAGACCATTCAGATTATACATTGTTAACAGTTTATAATTATAGTGAATAAAAAAAAAATAGAAACGCAGCTAATATATAAAGTTAGAAATAGAAACCTATCCCTATGGAAAGTTTCAAAATAAATTATAATTTTTTTTCAATTAGTGATATTTCTAGAATGCTAGTCTGATTGAATTTCAATAATGGGTTAACTGATTTAATGCAGTTCTATAAGTGTCAACCTGGAGGATTGGTGAATCAGATTGATTTTGCTTTTAAACTATTTAAAGAAGAGAACTGCATTAAATCAGATAACCCATTATTAAATCGGTCAATTGAAATTAAATTAAATATTTAATTTTAAAAGATAATTTTGTGAATTTTAATATCAACAAAATATTTTGCTCTTGTACTGAAAATGTAATAAAATATTAATAAAAATAAAGAAAAAAAAAACAATTATATCATATTTAGCTCAAATGGAAAAGGACAATTTTATCAATTATTATGATAAAAGGCAAAATATCTTAATTTTGCAAATAATATTTTTGGCTTTGGCAATAACATATATTTAGAAAGTAATAAAATATCATTTTTAAATAAAAAAATATAATATCAGAGCTGATTTCCTTTTGTGGTCATCGGAAGAAGGAGGTTTTTGTCACTAGATGCAAAATTTTCCAAATGTAAGGCATGATTGGAGGGCAACAGAGGGGCATGAGGTGTATATTCTTATATGTTAAAATAGTAATTTGTTTAATTTAGCAAATAAATATATATACACACACATAAGGTATCAAATAATTAATTAGGATCTTCTAGAAATGAAAAAAGAAATTGAATATTATGCGTGTGTACTTAAACATATGATTTTTTTATAAAAAAATAAATAAATGTTACAGTGAAAAAAAAAAAAAAGGAGAAGGAGGCAAAAACAGTAGGTATAATTAAAATTGGGAATTGGTTTGTAGTGAAATTGGTAATAGGTCCCTTTAGTGGCCCCTTTGATCTTTTTCTTGGCATGTCTTTCCATGTCAATTTGAAAAAGAGATTGGAACATATCATTAAGTAGGTACCATTTTCACCTTTTTCAAATTCCCAAATCAACTTATTAGCATTTTTCAATCTAATCAGACAATTTAGAGTTTTTTGTTTCTTTTTTTTTTTTTTCTTTTTAATTTTAGAAACTGTCAACTCAAAGTTACAAAACACTTTCTTTACAACCAAAACCAATCATCTCATCTTAACTAATTCTAATCACTTGTATTATTTATATCTTGCATGAATCTTTTTCTGCCACCTCATAAATCCTTACATACATGTTGACAATCTATGCCTTTGATTGTCACTAATTACAATTACATAGATCACAAAAAAAAAAAAAAAAAAACCCATTACATAGATCACAAAAAAAAAAAAAAAAAAAAAAAGAAACAAAAAATATTATGAACGTGTTTGGCAATAACTTTTAAGTGTTCAGTAACATAGCATTTGGATTAATTTTTAGGGTTAATGTATCATTTTATAAACAGTTAACTTATGTGACGTTTAACTTTTAGCATTTAATGAAAAAATTACTCAAATAGTTAAAAACTACTAAAATAATTAATAGCTACTAAAACAACTAATTTTACCGAATAGATCATATATATATATATATATATATATATACACAATAAAAAAATTGGAGCATGATGTCTCCTTCTCCTCAAGATTCTTTTAGTATCCAAAAGAATGAAAAGATTACACAATAGAGCAAAGACAAAAAATAAAAAATAAAAAAAATAAAAAAATAATAATAATAATTACATGTGACATGTGAACCTTATTTTTTATGCTATGATTGGAAGCTGACGAATTAGGATACTCAAACTCCAAGGTGTATATGCAAATAGTCAATTTCCTTCTTTACATATAAAACACAACATTTCCTTACATGTTCACAAGAAAATATACACTTGCCCAATTATTGAATCAACAAATTCCTTACAACAACCAAAAATTTTCTCCATCATACTATCAACAAATCAAGACTTGTGAACTGATATGATCTCTCTTTTTTTTTTTTTTTTTCTCTTATCTGTACTAGTTTTCTCTTACATATTGCCAGTAAATGTAATTCAATTTTTATATATAATTTTTTATTAATTTTTTGATATATATTATAATATTATTAATTATTTATAAAAGTAAAAATTTAAGAGTATTTCTAAAATAGAAAAAGAACATGTTATGAAATAATAAAATTAATAATTAAATAACTTGTTAAGGAAATAACATATTGATAATAATAAAATATTATTATAATTTAGCAGTCAACTTTTCATGAAAATAAAATTACTAATCGATCAATTTAAATTTTTTTACAAAAATTTAAATTCAATTAACTTACTTTTTTGTATATAAAATAGTACCATAAACTATATATATTACTAAAATATGAGAAACCAGTATTAACTACCAGTATTAACTATTATAATAATTAATATACATATAGATAGAGATTTTTATTTTATATTTTATATCAAACAATAAATCTTCTAATATTTTTTGTTAAATAAATAATATTTATTTTTGTAGAATAAGTTATTTCTTGGAAAATAAAATAAAATTTAATAATTAAAAAAATATTATATTTTTACCATATTTAATATGCACCTTATATAGTATAATATAAACAATCAAAATTAAATTATCTTTATTTTTTTCAACCAACAAAATTAAAATTTATAAAGATATTATGTTCTTACGACATTTAGTGTATATTCTATTTATTATGCATCAAATAGAATTACCATATTATATTATATTACTATATCATTTTAGTGTTCACTTTTATTATCCGCTCAAAATAGAATTTACCAATGATTATATTATATTACTATATATATATACCTATATATTATAATCACTACCCTATCCTATACCTCATATATTACCATAATATAATCAATATTATCATAATTTATATTATATTACCATGATTTTTATATTCACCATTTAATAATACTTATCATTATATATTGTATTTACTATAGTAGATGTACATATTACGCATACTTTAATATATTTATTATATATAATTATATATTTTTTTGGTTTTGAAACCTCCAATTTTATTTTTATAAGAAATATAGAATCAAATAGTAAATACCAACCATATTTAATATATTTATTATATATATTATATATTTTTGGTTTTGAAACCTCCAATTTTATTTATAAGAAATATAGAATCAAATAGTATATATTATCATATTTTATATAAACCTTATATGGTATATGATAGAATTTTTTATTTATTCAATAAAATTTAGATTTAAATAGAAAATTGATATGACCAATCAAAATTAAATTAATTTTATTTTTTCTACCAACCAAATTAAAATCCTTAATGGTATTTTTATCGATCCATTAATTTAGTAGGGATATTTTTAGCAATCCTGATGTTCTCACCCATTCCCACCCATTGATATAAGTTAATTTAATTAATTTCTCTTATTTTTTTTT